TCCAGCTTGGTGCGGATTCTATAACATTGACGTGGACTTCCTTCGAACGGCCAATACTCGGCTCCGAGACGAAACCTACTTCGATGGTCTGTTTGATCACAGAATTGATGGTGGAGGCTAGGCACGCTAAGGCATCCGCGTGTGTTCTTGTCGCGTGTTATTTGGTTCAGTTCGTGATGGTCCAATTTTGCTAGCAAGGAATTGGCTGTTTTCATGTAGGCCGCCATACGGTCGTTTCTTGCCGCGTACGCTCCCTTTAGTTGATTGATTACCAATTTTGAATCACAAAACACAAGCAGACGCCGAGCGTCGAGAAGGTGCGCATTCCGCAGACCGGCTAGAAGGGCTTCGTATTCGGCTTCGTTATTTGATGCTTCGAAGCCAAGCTTGATGGCCTGCTCAATTATTGCACCGTCTGGAGACATGATTACAACTCCGGCGCCACTGCTCCTTTGGTTAGATGATCCATCACAGTATAATTGCCAAATATCCCCGACATAAATTCTCCAATTCGGCTTTGGTAGAACTTCAGCCTTTGGTCGAACTTCAGCAGGTTTGAGGCTAGCAAGCTTGCTGGTGAATTCGGCAACAAAGTCGGCCAACACCTGCCCCTTGACTGCAGTTTTAGGTAAAAATTGAATGTCGTATTGGCCGAGTTCTAGAGCCCATTTTGAAACACGTCCTGATGCTTCTGCACTTCGTAGAACTGATCGGAGGGGATAATCTGCTAGCACCCCAATGCTATGTCCTTGGAAGTAATGCATCAGCTTTCTTGCCGCCATGACTAGGGTTAAGATGAGTTTTTTCAGTGGAAGGTAGCGTGTTTCGGCGTCAACCATTACCTTGCTCACATAATACACTGGCCGTTGCTCCCCCTCCTCCTCTTTTAACAGTACGGCGCTGACGGCCCTATCGGAAACTGCCAGATATAGGATGAGCGGGTCACCAGCGGCGGGTGTTGTCAAGAGAGGTACTAAGTGGAGGTAGGTCTTGAGTCTGTTGAAGGCTGATTCGCATTCGGTGGACCATTCAAAAGCCTTCCTGCCGTAGTGTCTGAAAGAATTGTCGGCAGCAATCTGTAGACCGACTGATGAACCTGTTGAGTGCAGCGGCCATCCCCATCAACTTTTGGACTTCTTTTACTGAACGGGGGGAGCTGAGTTCCAAGATTGCTGTGACTTGCCTCGGGTTGGCTTCGATTCCTCAGTGATTGACGATGTAACCCAAGAATTTGCCAGAGCCGATTCCGAACACACACTTGGAAACGCTCAATTTTATTCTGTATTTGCGTAAGATGCTGAATGTCTTTTCTAGATCGGCTATATGACTCTGTTCTTCTTTGGACTTGACCACCATATTGTCGATGTATACTTTCATAGTGTGGCCGAGTTGCTCTTTGAACATGGTGGTGACTAATCTTTGGTAGGTTGCGCCTGTATTCTTCAGCCCAAAGGGCATAACTTTGTAGCAATAGGTTCCTCTTGGGGTGAGGAAGGCAGTTTTGTCCTGGTCATCTAGATGCATGGTGATTTGATGGTAGCCTCTGTAAGCATCGAGGAAGCTCATGCGTTGATGATGTGCCGTCGTATTGACGAGCTGGTTGATTCTAGGTAGAGGAAAACAGTCTTTGGGGCAAGCTTTATTCAGATCTGTGAAGTCGACGCACACTCGCCAAGTCCCATTTTTCTTCTTCACCACCACTGTATTGGAGAGCCACGTAGGGTAAGTGACTTCTCTAATTGCCCCGGCGTCAAGTAGTCTGTCTACCTCATCAACAACGGCGGCAGTGTGCTCCGCGGCTGACCGTCGACCTTTTTGAATGATCGGCTTACATTTCGGATCGACATTCAGATGGTGCTGTGAAACTGGCGAGTCTATTCCCGGCATTTCGTACAGAGTCCACGCAAAGATGTCAAGGTTGTTGAGCAAGAAAGAGATCAGCTGTTGCCTGTTGGCCTGATTCAGAGAGGCGCCGATCATGAAGAACTTTTCTGGGCTGCCATCAATGTCAACTCGGTCTAAATCTTCCGTGGCCTTCTCATTTGGATACCGTCCAACATCGTCCAGGATCTCCCGATTCGGCACCTCAATGGAGTTTACTTGCAGTTCCTTTGGCGTTCTGGCAGCAAGGAGATAACATGTTTGTGCCGATTTCTGGGATCTACGGATTTGCTCAATGCCGTGTTTTGTTGGGAAACGTAGCAGTTGATGAGAGGTGCTTGGGACGGCTTGCAAGGTATGCAACCACGATCGCCCCATGATGAGATTGTACGGCGATGGCAGCCTGACGACCAAGAATTCCACGTCCACCGTTCTGGAACTTGCTCGAATGGGTAAGCTGATCTTTCCCAATGGGTACTCTGGAGTAGCATTGAAGCCGAATAGTGGATAAGGAGACGGAGTCAGGTCTGACTCGCTGAATCTGAGTTTGGTGAAGATTTTATAATACATAACCTCCAAGGTACTGCCCTGGTCGATAAGAACGCGTTCAACGGTGAACCGGTTTACGCGCAGCTCAACAACCAACGGATCGATGTGAGGGAGTGTTACACCGATCAAATCAGAATCGTCAAAGGTGATACTTGGCGTTTCTCAGGGCCGCTTTGCTGGCGCGAGTTGCTGTTGGGGGCCTGGATGTGATTGGATCGCATGCACGGCCGGGGCTGCTGGCAGGCTGTATATCATGTGGACGGTGTCAAGCGGAAATGCGTCCTTTGGACGGGCAGGTGTTTCGACCACACTCCTCTGGACGCATTGGTGGAGACGTTCGTCCTTTGCCAACTCCTCAAGATGATCTGTTGAAGCATGGCGGTCGTCATTTTCTTGCTGTCGGGTCCGAGATCGTCGATCATCTGCCCTCGGGGGTCGCTCAGAAGCCTGGCGCACCATTTGTTTGGATTTTGCTATTTTTGAGGCTAGATCGCGACGAAGGTGTTCGTTCTCAGCGATGATGTTGTCCAACCTCTGTTTGGTTTGTCTAGCTTGTGCCATGGTCGCTTGTATTGTCATTTGCATTGGGTTTGGAGATGAGCAGAGGTCCGAGGCAAGTCTTGCTGCGATGGTTTTTGGTCTAAGCGAGTTCGCTGGAATGAGGTCACCTCTCTGTGCGGTTTCGTCAGTGGCTATCGGAGGATCTTCAGTCACGCCTGCCATGGATGTATTTGAGTATTCCCATAGACGGCGCCAGTTGTGGGGAAGTGGTTTTGGAAATACTCTTCAGATCCTGGGAGACACTAGTGATCCTCAGCTAGTCACTTGAAAAGACACAAACACTCCGGTCGGGGGTGCCGAAATTAGCACTCCGACGGACAAGTTAGTTCAGACACTCAGAATAGCTTGTCTACTAAGTTTTGTGAAGTAATTTTTACATACATTTCTAAATCAGTGGTTCTTGTATTTATACTTACTTTTTGAGCCTCAAGGCCTGAGCCTGAGCCTACTTTTATCCCATTCCCTTTTTATTCATTCGGAGCCACTGACCTCCGTCTATTCGGCTTTCCTAACGTATTCGGCGTCCTTGTGTAGCACATCACCAGTTCTTGAAAAGTCAAATAGAGTTGTGTTATATGCCTAGTAGGGATACATTTAACAAGGTATCTAATCATTTGAAAACTTACATGTCATAATCATAATTAAAAAAAAAAAAAAAAAAATTCAGGATTCAAGTTTGAACATTTAAAATAAAAAAAATAAAAAAAATATACTCATTGCAAGAAAACCTTTATTGATACAAGGGAGTAAACAAGTCATGAATCCCTTGTAAGAGTCCCAACACATATACATATATACATTTGTAACAGAAACTATCCCCACATTTACCGACTATAATACGACAGGACGTGGGCACCCAACATCATCTGTTTTCTCACTTTTACTGACTATTATACGGTAGGACCAGTGGACACCAAAAACAAAAAACATTTTCCCACATTCGTTTGGCGATATGTGCAGACAAGGAAATTGGGCACCTTGACTTCCCGCGCGAGTACCAAATACAATACATAACTCAAACCAAACCCGACTCACTACCCGACTCAACTTTTAGGGTTTCAATAATTTTGGAGCTTTCACTCTATTTTCACACATATATATATATAGCTTCTTAATGTCAATAACCATGCTATATAAAAGATTGAGTAAAACTCCATCAATAATCAAATACAAGTTTTACCTCACTGAATCTTTGAACCAAGTCTTATATTTACAATCATACCATATAAGCATCTTCAAATCAAAGAGATACTAAGTTAAAAGTAACCCTACCTTAAGCAAAGAGCAAGTAAGCCAAGCTTCTAGGAGAATTCTTCACAAAGACAAAATATAATCAGTAGAAAGGATGATCTTTACATGTACTTCACTCCTTGCAAGTGATTTGGGCTTAGATCTTAGAGAAATGAGAGATATTTTAGGTAAGAAATCTACGGTTTTCGGAAGAAGAGAGAAAAGAAAAATAAGAGAGAAAGAAAATGGTGAAGAAATAATCTGAAATGTGCGTTTTTAAAATGCTAATTTTGCGTAGATCGCTTAAGTGGTCTTTTCATCACTAGAGTGGTAAATAAGATCTCTCAGTAATTTTGTCTGCAAAACAAGATACGAGGAGCTCTTCAAATTCGCTCGAGCGACCACTAGTTCGCTCGAGCGATCTATTCCCACCTGCAAAAATACTGGATGTTCTCTATCTTCACTCGAGCGGTACTTTCATCACTTGAGCGGTCATGTGGAACAAAATGTCACAATCTTTCCCCCTTAGTGAATTTCACCCTGAAATTATGTCAATTCTCAACACGGTAACCAAGATATGATAAAGATGTTATACTTATTCATTCCTAGCAATTCCCAAATGAACAACAAACTATTTCCAATGACAAAAAAAAGGAAAAGAGCAGGAAATAGAATTTATAGATAATTTATCACATGTAAAGGAGAGAAATAGGGAAATGGGTACATCACATATTAAGAAATAAGTCTGGGTATTTCTCATGAACTTTGGCTTCTCATTCTCAAGTTGCTTCTTGTACCCTGTGATGGTGCCACAACACTTTGACTAGTGGAATGGTCTTACCTCTTAACATTTGCTCTAGTGTGTCAAGAATTTGGATCGGTTTTTCCTCATAATATACATCTTCATCAACTTCAATCTTTGTCCAGTCTACCATGTGAGAGGGATAGGGCTCGTATTTCCGAAGCACTGATACATGGAACACATCATGCACCCCGTAGAGTTGAGGTGGTAAGGCAAGATGATAAGTAACTTTTCCTATCCGCTCAATAATGACAAAAGGGCTAATAAATTGGAGAGATAATTTTCCACTCTTGTCAAATCTCATCAATCCCTTCCTTGAAGAGATCTTCAAAAATACATGGTCTGCTACTTCAAAAGATAATGGTCGTCGCCTCTGATCGGTATTGTTTTTCTGACGGCTTTGGGCCGTGATCAATCTTTTTCGAATAAGAGCTACTTTGTTAGTAGTCTCACGAAATAACTCAGGCCCAAGCATTGGTGAGTCCCCTACTTCCGCCCAACATAATGGTGACCTACAAGGACGTCCACAAAGAGTTTCAAAAAGTGCCATTTCAATACTAGATTGATAACTGTCATTATAAGCAAATTCAACTAAAGGTAAGTGTCTTTCCCAAGACCCTTTGAAATCTAACATACATGTTCTTAACATGTCTTCCAAGATTTGTATGGTACCCTTGGATTGCCCATAAGTTTGGGAATGGTAAGCAGTATTGAAATTTAGTTAGGTACCCAAAGCACTCTGAAGACTCTGCTATAGTCTAGTTATGAAATGAGGGTCACTATCCGACACTACACTCATTGGGACTCCATGGAGACGAATAAGTTCACGTATAAAAAGTTCTGCTAAGTACTCTATAGAGTCCCTCATACTCATGGCGAGAAAATGGGCTGAGTTGGTAAGTCGGTCTACAATCACCCATATTGTATCATTACCTCTTTGTGTTCTTGGAAGACCCGTAACAAAGTCCATATTGACATGTTCCTATTTTCATTTGGCAACTAGAAGAGGTTGTAGTAATCTTGCCGGTTTTTAATGTTCAGCCTTTGCCTGCTGATAGGTTAAGCACTTGGACACAAATGAAGCTACATCATTCTTCATACCCCTCCACCAAAATTGACGACCTAGATCATGATAATTTGGTGCCTCCTGGATGCACTGCAAGGCATGAGTGATGGAATTCTCGCAAAACTTCATCCCTTATGGATCTACGTACAAATAACAGGTCAAAGTATTGAACACTAGAGTCAATATAAATGTTCAGACTTTTATCTTCTTTTCCTTTGAAGGTTCTCTCTCGAATTGACTCCATTTCAAGGTCACCCAGTCATGCTTCTGCTACTCATGTAACAAGTGTGGGTTGTGTGACGGTGGTGAATAGGGTTTCCTGCTCAGAAGACTCGTGAAGTTGTAATTCAAATTCACTGATATCCTTCATCATCTTCCGTTCCCTCACCGCTAGACTAGCTATAGTACTTACAGATTTTCTACTCAATGCATTTACCGTAACATTGGATTTTCTGGGATAATAGTTTATTTCGAAGTCATAGTCCTCCAAAATTCAATCCATCTTCGTTGACGCAAAATTAAATCCTTTTGAGAGAATAGGTATTTGGGACTCTTATGGTTGGAAAACACTTCAAATTTCTCACCATATAAATAGTGTCTCCAAAGTTTCAAAGCGAAGACAACTGCAGCGAGCTTGAGGTCATGCATCAGGTAGTTCTTCTCGTGAGTTTTTAATTGGCGCGAACTATAAGCTACCACCCTACTTTCTTGCATTAAAACACACCCCAACCCTTCCTTAGAGGCGTCACAATACAAAGTATACCCCAAGCCACGTTCTAGAATGATAAGAATATGGGCGATAGTCAATCTAAGTTTTAGTTCCTAAAAGGATTTCTCATAAGCTTCACTCCAAATGAACTTTACTTCTTTACGAGTTAATCTAGTTAAGGGTGATGCTATGGAAGAGAAATTCTTTACAAATCGATGGTAGTAACCAGTTAAATCCAAGAAACTACGAATTTCAGAAGCGTTTTTGGGTTGTTCCCAATTCTGTATTGTTTCTATCTTTGAAGAATTCACCATAACCCCATCTCCGGAGACTACATAACCCAAGAACTTCAACTCTAGATGCCAAAACTCATACTTCTCATATTTTGCATATAAGGGATGTTCTCTAAGGATTTGTAAAACACTATGGAGGTGCCCTTCATACTCCTCTTCAGAAGGTGAATAGATAAGGATGTCATCCATGAAGATGACCACAAATTTATCAAGAAACTCTCAAAAAATTCGGTTCATCAGGTCCATAAATGTAGCTATTGCGTTAGTTAAACCAAATGGCATAACCAAGAATTCATAGTGACCATATATCTGGTAAGAAAAGCCGTCTTGGGAATATCTTCCTCCCTAACTCATATCTGATGATAACCTGACCTCAAATCTATTTTCAAGAAGCAACGTGAACCTCTGAGTTGGTTAAAAAGACCATCTATTCTTGGTAAAGGATACTTATCCTTAACCATTACTTGATTCAATTTGTGATAATCTATGCATAATCTGAATGACCCATATTTTTTCTTAGCAAACAAGCCTGAAGCTTCCCAAGGTAAGGTACTAGGGCGTATGAAGCCTTTACCTAGAAACTCCTGCAACTGTTCCTTTTGATCAACCAATTCAGCTGGAGTAAATCTATAAGGCAACAAAGATATAGGTGTTGTACCCGGTATCAAGTATATAGAGAATTCGACCTCCTGATGTGGGGGTAATTCAGTGAGATCTTTGGGAAACCCATCCTGAACTTTACCACTTCCATCATGCCGAAAGAGATCTAAATTCACCCTAACCACTTGGGTAGTACAATGAGAGTAAAGATCTATTGCTCCTATCCCCCAAAAATGTAAAACAATCACCGTTTGACATGCATATCGTAACTCTCCCACGATAACAATCGATAATAACCCAGTAAGAAGACAACCAGTCCATGCCGAGAATAACATCAAAACTCGACATATCTAACAATACAAAATGGAAGGAAGTTGTCGACCAATGACCTCAATGATACACCCACGACATCCTCGGTTCAAGGAACTTTACTCGCAACAGGTGATTCCACCGTAAATGGAGACTCTAGTTGTTTGCTTTCTAACCCCAACAAGGATGGAAATGCAGTTGCTATAAATGAATAGAACATCCCGGTATCTATCAACACACTGTAGACGCCCCATTTTTGACTGCCCTCAAGACTTAGATGTCATTGCTCGTGCACTCGATGATTGTGTGTTTGTGTTCGTTTTGAGCGCCTGAAGTCCTCGATGGAATGCCTTGTCTTTGAGTCTTTAAACCTTATTCTCTCTATACCTTGTTTTGGACCAAAACTTGGTGTCTGGACCTCTTGATGACCTGTCGGCCACCACCCAAGGCTATCGGCCATGGGGTGTTTTTGTCGGCCATGGGTGTGGCCGGTCAGCTATCAGTGGTGGTCGACGGCCACCAGTGCTTTTTTGTAGATATTTATTGATAGCTGTGCCAGCTGTTGCACACTGAGCTGTATCTCTATACACGTGTATGGTGAGATGTTTCTAAGCTCAATGGGTGGTTTTTCTAGATATAGGGGGGTTCCTCCCCCATTTTGGAGGGTTAGAAAAATTAGAGCAAAAATATCTTTCTCTCTCTAGAATTGTCTTTCTCTCTTGGTATTTTGTACACATTTGCTTGCAAGTCTTTAGCTTTTGCATATCAACCCTTAACCAAATACTCTCACCTTTGGGCTGAGATTACTTAGAGTCTTGTTTGAGCTCTAGATGGTGGTTTGAGCTTGGATTATTGGCTATTTTGTGCTTTGCTTCAAAGGTATAGCATTCACCTTATTTATACTTGCTTTGTATCTTTGTTTTTCCATCTTTTCCAACTGTTTTTGGGCTGATTTTGAATTGTCAAAAACTTTGTTTTTGTGACTTAAAAGTGTTGGTTTGAGGTCTCTTTGAGTTAGAAGGTGGTCCACCCTTCTTGCTCTTTTATTTGTTAAGCTTTTGTACCATTTTTCATCACTTTTAAACCAACTTTTTTGGGCCTTTTAACCACTGAATTTTAGAGGTTTTCTTAGTGGTAAAAACCTTGGTTTGAAGTCCAAAATTGGAGGGGTTAGCCTCCCCTCCTTGTGTCTTGTTTGCATGCCTAGGTAGCTTTACATGTTAGCATGTTTTTCTAGCCTTTTGTGGCTTAAGTCCAACATGTTTTAAGCTTTGTTTTGACCTGTTTTGGTTCTGTTTTGGATTGGTTAATTCATTTGAGCCTTGTATTGCACAGTTGTAGTGTAATCTCCTTCACTAGCTTGATGTTTTAATGCTTTAATCATCATTGTTTTGAGCTAATAGCATGCTTTAGTATTGTTTTACACTTCATTTTATCACTTAAAATCTCTACAATCTCCCTCCATTCTTCACTCTTTTGTTCACTTTGAAAGTGGTTTTAAACCTCTTGTTTTCCTAAAGTGTGAAATGGAGGTGTTGCACCTAATGGTTTAATCCCTTAGGGGGTTCATTACCAACAGTGTAATGCCTCTTTCATGCCCAAAGCACCTTGTGGTTTGAGCTATCTTTCCATTAGAGGACACTCACTAATGGACTTAATCAGTTAAAGAATGGTTTTGGTAATTCAAATGAGTAAACAAAATAGGACAAGTAAAAGAGGCAAGATAAACATCTTTTGTGTTGCATTGCATATGTTCAAATCGGACGTTAATTCGAACATAAGGAAAATGGGACATTTCATACTCAAAAGTGATGAAATGTGCCACTTTCCTTGGTCACCATTACCCTTGATTATGCATGATAGGGTGGTGGTCTTTTTGAGTCTTGTTTTGCACTCATTAAACTTGTGAAAACTTGGTTCTTTGGCCATCATGCATGGAAATTCCTTGATTGATGGTTTGAGAGCCAAGAGTTTCACTCATTTGAGCTTGTTTGATGATAAGGAGTGTAAACAGTACACACAAACCTACGAGAATACACTGTTTTGCTCTGTCTGCTCTCTTTTGCAGCAAGAAGAGGAGTTCATGTCATCAGTGGCCGACCGGCCACCACCAGTAGCCGACCGACCACTAGTGGTAGCTGACCGACCACCATTGGTAGTCAACTAGCCCCCCGTCGGCCACCAATAAAATTTGCACAGTGTATTGGTAAGGTGGAGCAGAGGTGTTCTGGAAGTGGACAGCTTTGTTAGTGATCAAATGTGCAAACAGAGGCTTGCAGTAGCAAAATGATGGCTTTTCGGGTGGAAGAACCAAGCATGTATGCATCTCTCGTTTCCTGAGGCCGCTTAAAGTTGCCTAGTTAATTAGTTGTAGCTAATTGAGAGTTGTTAATAATTAGTTAGTTTAACTAGTTATTTAATTTCGGTTTGTAATATTTATTTAGCTTAGAATAGTTAGTTAATTAGTTTCAAGTTTTGTATTAGTTAGCTTAATTAGCATAATTAGTTGGTTAGCTTATTCATTTGGACCCTCCTTTGCGAGGGCGTAATGTTGTAATAAGTGTGCGTGTGTG